CAAAGATAAGAAAGTATTGGTAATAACCTGTGGCAATAAGTTTTAACATGTGTTAGGACCAACATCACATTCTCAAATTCATTCTTCTTGAAACTGTTAACTATCATTTCAAAGTTTTTTGTTGATTTCCTTATGGGTACTGGCATATTGGGCAGAATACATACTAAGTAAACTTAATCTGAAATCTGAATCTATTTAATTAGAACCCGGCATCTCATATCTCCAGAAACACATACTTAAGCAGAAAAGGGCAAACGTCTAATAAACACACTGTTATCAGGGCCAGATGTGAAATGAATCGGATTATGAGACACCTGAGCATGAAAGATAAATGGAGCTTAAATTCACAAGAAACATGAACCTTGAATTTTCAGATACTGTTGGTGAGTGTATAAAACGGTTACTGTATATAAAAGATCCTAAAAATTAAGCAGAGAATTTGACTGAACCACTACATACCTTCATAATCTATTTTATGGAAATAATTTCGACTATGAATAAAAATTTAGCTATGGAAATGTTAACTGTAGCATTCTCTAAAACAGCCAGCATAGCTGAGGTCACGAGGAGTAAGTATGGTATAAACTATAGGGTAGCAAGTTATACAATCACAAGAAATGGTTCACTAAATTAAAAGGTTTACTACATGTTCTTGGTTGGGGAAAAGAGACTATAAAACAGTATTTATTGTATGACCATATTTTATAATTAAAATGATTTCAATTACAAATAAAAAGGATAGCCTCTAGGGTATTAATTAATTAGAATTGCTAAAGTAGTTTTAGAGTAATAAGATGAGTGTTTTTTACATTTCTCTTCTTTCTCTATTGGATTTTCTAATGTTTCATCAAGGAGCTTAGATTATTGTATTTCAGGAAAAGGTTGGCAGAGTGGGGGTGTGGCAAGCAAACTAAGACTTAATGCAGCAAGAAACAGTTGTTATCAAACTTCTAAACATCTTTGTCCGCAGCCTTTTCCAACCTCCAGAAGTTGAGGTATAATTTTACAAGCAAAAACCTTGCATATATGGTTATAGAAAAGTAAACAGAACTCAAAACACAGCAAACTGACAACCCCACACACAAAAAAGCAATACAGGAGATATGTTGTATACATAACCAAAGGCTTTAAAGTGCATCATAGTTCATGAAATATGAGGCTCTAAATGAGGCAAATATTATGCAAAGAAATGAAGGGGTGACTTCAGTAAACAAGGGGGACCGTTTGTGAAGACTAACCTACAGGTGGACTGCTGTTCTTATCAAGGTGGTGTATTCTGTGGGCACACACTATAGAAGGGGTAAGTAACTGCCATGTGCAAGTATCAGGACTAGGAGAAGCGGGCATCTAATGGAAGCTAGTGGAAGTTTAGTGCAGTCAGTGGATGACAGGAGCGCCCCTCAAGTGATGGGCCGGCTGAATAGAAGATTCTGACAACCTGGGTCATTTTCCTCACGACAGCACTCCCTTTACAATGACATTGGGTGCTTGTTGGGCACTTGTCACTGACTCTTGTGCCTAAGTTTGCCTTGGGATCTTCAATCCACTGCTCTAGGGAGCTAAGTGGGGGAGGGAGAGGGCCATTCAAGAAAAATATCATTGCTGGAATGAAAGCTTCTGGAACAAACTTACTTCTTAAGATAAAAAATTATAGACTATGTGGGAGGCCTGGGGAAGCATTCGGTGGAAAGGCACTTTATGTCTGCCTCTACCAAGTGGCTGTTTTTCTCTCACAACTTCCTGAAACTAGCTTCTTATTTTATCTCCATCTACACTAAGAAAAATGTAAACAGACTAGTGATTTCATGGACACTTCTTTCATTTTCATACTATTATATTTTGCTCTTAATTTCAAATGATGTGTTTTGTGTTACTTGCAGGTAGAGGGGGTTATTTTGTAGTGTAGTAACTCTGAGGATGGGGAGGGGATTAGATGGCAATGTCATAGGTCAGGCCCTTGGAGATTTCACACATAAAACTAAGAGGATGGATGAAGACTCCCTTCTACTTTCCCTTGACACAGCTCAACATCTGGACGTTAGCCCCAAGAGCAGCATACCTGTGTTCTGATTATACAGCATTAAACTGCAGACACACAGATGATATAATTGTTCTGAAGGAAGACATAGTCTTTAGTGGAGCTGGCCTAGAAGGCTTCTTGAAGGACTATTCATCAGGACACTGTTCATCGTCTATTCTTGGATCTCTCTTTTAAAAAGGGAATAGTGAGAAGACTTGGAGAAGGATAGGAAAGGGTCAGAGAGGAGGCTGAGACTAAGAGTGGTAAAAGATCAGGGTGTGAGGGAAGAATTGTCATGATTTGCAATAGCAATGGAACTTGAACTCAGCCACTCTCTCCAACACCTCTCCAGGAAAGTCCATCCATTGTCCTTTTCTTCCAGCTGACAAAACCCTCTCAGGCTTGTGGTATGTAGACGTTTGCAATAGCTTTGAGTAAAACCATTGCTTTGGTATTAGAAAAGGAAGGTACAAGTTCTACCCACTGATGATGTCATTCATGGGCTCCGAAATTTGGAAACCTTCTCTCTAGGCAGGTATCAGCCCCTTCTCCAGCTTTGTAATCCATGTCTTCGGCAATCCATGTTTTTAGCCTTTTCTTTATTGGAAGGAGATAACTCTGGCAGTGTCTACCAGACTCAGCCTATTTAGATAAGATCCACCAACTATGACTGCTGCAAGAGCTGGCAGTAGCTGGCAGAAAGCACTCAGCTTTCTTAGGCACTGTGAGGACCAAGCTAGGATCCTGGAAGTTCTAAGAATGATTGTGTTGAAGTTTAGGCTGAAAAGTCTAAACCCACAGACAGGAATAAGGTCCATTTCTGTTCATCTTGCAGAGTCAAAGCTGGTCCCCAGGCCTGGGGATCACTACTTGCTTCTTTTTTGAAGAAATATGAATAATTCCAAGTATATATATTTACATTTCCAAAGCAGCTCCAGAAATATCATTCCAAAGATGCTTCTTATAAAGACTTTAAAGGTTTTTATAGGCTCTTTATCTCTACAGTCAGTCATACCAATGGCAATTAGTCTCACATGTTACTTTTTATTGACTAATTAATTTTGTTTTATGTGTATGTGTGGGTGTCTAGGTGTATAATATACCCCATCTGTGTGTGTGTGCAGTTGATTTCAGAAGCCACAGAGGGCAGTGGGCTCCCTAGTACTGGAGTCACAAATGGTTATGGGCCATGGAATGTGCTGGAGTTTGAACCCAGGTCCCCTGGAAGAGCAATAGAGTGCTTTTAACCACCAAGCCACATAACCAACTCCATTCTTGCACATTTCAAAATAGAAGCAAGCACTGAAGATGACAGGTGACATTGAGTATGGCCAAGTGAGCCCAAAGCTTAGAACAACACAGATTTGGTTAGGAAAACAATGGCAGCTAAGAGCTCAGGCTCTTTCTGATGACAGTGTCTCTGTATTTTCAACCCATTTTTGAGAGGACTAGGAAACCCAGAAGATATGGACAATTAAATGATGCCACCTGTGTTTAAAGGCTTCTATTAATGTACATGCATCCATGAGCAGAGATGTTTCCTTAGAAGAGATGTTTCACAGTCACTGTTACACAAGGTGTAATGTGCTACTTTCCTCTGAATGGAAAACCGAGAATGTGGACACTGGGAATGGGATTCTGTCTCTGGAAGTTTCAAATGGTACACTCTTGCAAGTTACTGGGTCTCTCTTATGGGACATGATTTTTCTAATCCTAGAAGCAAGTCAGACTTCCAGGTACCAGCTGAGAATCAGATTAATGTCAACATGTCCCAAATTAAGAACCAGTACCCCTGTAATTAGTAATTAGAGATAAACTTGCTGTGACTGTCTAGTGTGGCAGATACTGTGGTAAGTTCTTTAGTATAGCTTTCCTAATGCTTCTAGCACTTACTAGCTCTTTCATGTTTGGTCAAGAGCTAGGGCTTTGCTCCCAGGACTGCCTCAGCAATTAAGGGTGTCCTTTCCAGTGTCTACTATTTGGTCTATTCTCGTCAGCCCACGATAACTACCAAAGCATCAGATCTCACAAGAACAAAAAGGATGCAAGCGGAGAGGAGAGAAGATTGCTTAACTTCATTTATTAAACGGGGATAGAAGAGCTGTGGTGAGGACTACATAAGCTCAACATACACATAGGAAGAATGCGCAAACCAGCCATTGGTTACTGTTAGAGTTAGGAAAGTGCAGTTACAGAGTAGATGGTTGAGTTCTTGGAGCTAGAATGTAGGAAGGCCAGGATTTGAGCTCAGGTAGTCAAACTGTCTTTGTAGCCTCTATCACATACTTAATTGTCTCAGATTTTGTATTGTTTTACTACTCAGAGCCTTTCACAACTTTCAGTGTGTACAATGTCTTTTGTAATTTCACAGCAGAAAAAGCTTGTCCCTTACCAGAAACCAGTATGTTTCCTCTTTTTGAAACTGAGAATTATGCAATTTATCATGCATTCTTTTTTTTTGTCTTGGCTGCCAGAAAGCTCAGAGCAAAATCATTTACTCAACCACCCCCACAAAATTGTTTCTGGCTTCCTATACTTTGTTCCTTATTTTTATTTTTAATTCTTTTTTTTAACAACACTTTCTTTTGTGTTTCTTGTTGATAGAGGTATCAAAATTATTTGGAAAGCAATGTAGCCCAAATTAGCAAATAAAACTCTGAAGTACATGTGAAAAACCAATCGAGCATTACTTGTTTCACTTGATCAAAGAAAAATGGCTAAGGGGAAACTGAGGCTAAATAATTGAGGATCTCTTTTACAGGAGAAGAGAAAACCAGAACAATTCATGGGAATGGAGGTGAAGCCAAAGGAAGGCAGCGGTAACTGCGTCAGAGGCTGTCAGTACCTGTGATTCTCTGGCTGTAACCTATCATTTCTTAATTATATCCTGTATGTGTTTTGCCAGCTGTAAGCTTCTGTCAAGAGGCCAGACAGCCTCAGACAGGGGAGGGACCACAGCTACCCATGGATCCTAACGTACCTGCACAGATGTGAAGTCCCCAGAGGCACAGGCACCCAGAACAGCAGCACCCACGAGGACAGACTCCACCTCTTGTGACAGGACCACAGGCATGCCTGCACAAGACAAAGTCACAGATGGGTTAGTGAACGGGACCAGGACTGTGGGGAGCCAACAAGCACCTCCAGAGGCAAAACATCCGATGCCAAAACAGCAATACTTTTACCTCTCTGAAGTCCTCAGTGTCTTGGGATATTGGGTTCCAGGGATTTCTTTGCCTAGTGCCTGCTGGTGCACTGGCCAAGAGCCTCAAGCTAGCCAATACTTGTGAGACATTGGCACCCAGGTCTCTGGCTTCTGGTAGCTCTATTTGACATTATTTAGGGCTATCCCTCTACTCTGTTACTTGCTTGGCTGGGCCTAGTAGAGGCTGAAATGAATCAGGCTGTGCCCTTGTTACTCAAGTCTTAGATGCCATGGAAGGACTGGTGCTCTAACTCATATGGACTCATCTCCAGGGCTTCCTATTTCCTTAGACATACTCATAGTCCTTAGACAGTCTGACACAACCCTCTGCTAGCTTCTAGCGTCTCTTTACCTGCCCACCATATGGACCTACCTCCCTTGCTTCTTGAGTAGGTTTCAGGGCCCTTCCAGATGCCCATGTAACTGCCTGTTCTCCATGGTGCAAAGGCACCCTGAGTTTTCCTTGGTCATTGCACTTAAAATGGTGAGACATCTTTAGCACTCTTCACTTCTTTCCCCTTCACTTTTCCACCACAAGTTTTACTTACTTAGGTTGTCTTATTCCTTGTGCTGTTATACGGAACACCACACAAGTCTAGGCCAGTGGTTCTTAACCTTTCCAATGCTTCGACCCTTTAATATGGTTCCTCCTGTTGTGTGACCCCATAACCACAAAATTATTTCGTTGCCACTTCATAACTGTAATTTTGCTACTGTTATAAATCATAATGTAAATCTGTTTTTGAGATAGAGGGTTGTCAAAGGGGTCATCACCCACAGGTTGAGAATCTCTGGACAGTCTGTTTACCACCATGTCTTGACATTTAGAGCAGGCCCCAGATCACGGTAACTAAATGATGGAAGAATGGGACTCTGGGCCAGGGGCTGACATGGTGGACATGAGACTGAAACAGGCATTTGAAGAAAAGCACAGCAAACAGAAGCCACCTACAGGACAAGTCCCCAAGGTCCATGTAGAACCATTGTTCTAGACTTAAAGATAATTACACATCAGCATCTTCACTGACTTCATGGTGGGAACCTAAGTTAGGGTCCCACCTCTCTGTACCTCCGTTTCCTTATCTGAAAGATGGCATTAGAATTCCATCTGCCATTGGGCAGTGGTGGAACATGCCTTTAATCCCCTCACTTGGAAAGCCAAGGCAGGCAGATCTCTGTGAGTCTGAGTCCAGCCTGGACAGGCAGGGTTGTTACATAGAGAAACCCTGTCTTGGAAAACAAAACCAAAATTCCATCTACCTTCACAGGATGACTCTTGATTTCCTAGTCCAGAGATGACAGTAAATGTCACAGAAGAAAGTTCTGTGGCAGAAAGTTTCCTGTACACAAAGGCTGCAGCTCTCTTCCTGCCTCCCCTCGGAGGCATACTTGTTAATTTACCTGCTTCCTCCAGGCCAGGTCAGCTCCTCCTTTCCCTGCTTACAGACACCCAGGAAGCAGAATCCTGCTGACAGCTCTGAGGACTTGAGGAATTAGAACAGGGCCTGCCTCTGGCTGTGCCACTAAGCCATCAGGTAGAGTGACAGCTCTAGGAGAAACTCAGGCCTGGCTTCTTCCCTGCTTCCTTTCCTCTGGAGTCCTTCACAATCTCTTTTACTCTTTCAGCCCTGCTTATCTCAGGTGCCAAATGGGGATGGGGCTTACTGCACTGCATGGGTGCACGGTGTGGGTTATCGACAGAGCTCTCAGATGGAGCTCACTTATTTCCTGATCTGTGTGCAGCCCTGGAGACATGGTGGCTGCTATTGTTAGACTCAACACTGATGGCAAGTAAGGGTTCAGCATGGATTTTGTGGGAGCTGAAGGGCAGATCTCTGGCAAAAGTAAAGAGCAGGTCTTTTCAGCAATCCTGAGGGTAAGGAGATATACCAGGCCACATAGCACAGAACTGGTAGCTCAACCAGAAAGCATACTACATGTCTGTGTGGATCTGCTGCCACCCAGGCCTCCTACTGACCTGAAACTTTTTTAGAATAGCCTTCTAAGCAATATTTATCTGCAGCTTCTCTGCAATAGACCCACAACTTCCCTATTTCTGAGTGGAAACGAAGCCCCCCCCCACCAACCCCTCATTAGCTCTCAGGTTAGAGTTCAGCATACTTTGGAGTCGGACTGCCAGGGTGTGAATTCTGGCTTCCTTGCTGACACAGCTGTGCAATATTAGGTTATTTAGCCTCTCCATGCCTCCCTTTTCTCATATGGAAAGTGCCCTACAGCTAAATCTGGACTCTGCTCCTATCTCAGGCCTGGTGCCTCCAGATACTCAGCCCTAAGCCAGGGAATGGAAATAGGTTAGAAACTGTAGGGGTTTCCCAGGTTGCCTAGATTTTCTAACCTTTTGTAAACAAACTCTTTATTCAAGTTGACCAGGCTTCCCTTCCCTGCCTGGCACTGTCATCTCTGACCTCTGGGTCTGTATTCTTCCCTTCTACACATTAGACAGAAGACTACAGAAAATTTCATGATTGGTAATGGACTTCTTGATGCCATCTTGTTCTTTATATTCTCAAGCCAAGTTCAGTACTTGACAGCCTGGGTGCCTAGGGAATGCTTGTGAGTGAACAAAATGAATGAACAAACATTTAGACAGGAAGAAGGAAACCCTAGAGAAACTGCCAGCACTAAAGAAGTACAGTTTATAAGACTTAGTCCCAAGTCTGCAGGAAGACCTACAGTTACTTGGTACATGTAGACAGTTTTTGGAAACCACACTTAAGTCAATGGCCAGGGTCCAGGAAGTGCCTTTCATGCCCATGTCATTTTCCAAGCTGGTAATGCCCACACTCCCTGCCATGCCAGCTTTTTCTAACCTAGACCAAATTGATTGTACCATTTTAAACTCTCTTTTTCTCCACCATGTCTTCTCCTTTTGGGCATGGGGCTACCTAAAGGGAAGAATTAAGGCAACAGACTGGGATCACTCATTGGGAGCTAAGCAGGAGTCTGGGACTCAAACTCCTGAGCATCCATTCCTTGGTATGATCTACAGAGGGGGATAACAACATTGCTGGTTATGCAGAAGAGGGACCCTACAAGTAAAGTAACTTCCCCCAGGTCAGACAGCTGGCCCGCAGCTCTTTCCGCTACTCTGCTCTGCATTTTCTCACCCATGTGTCTGAAAATTTCATTCCATGTTGGTGCTTTGTTCTAAATCATTCTGCACAAGGAAAACAGAGCAATTCTGGTGCTTACAGATACCACGGGCCTCACCTTTCTACCGGCTTCTCTTACAGGACAGATTCAAATGCTTCCCCCTCTCTCTGAGCCCTGGATGAAGGCAGGAAGAGGGAGGCTTTGCCTGGAATGTGAGCTATTTTATCGGATGCATTAATGAGTTTAACAGAAGCCAAAGCATTTGAAGGCAGATGCACTTTGCCATCCTTTGTCACTCACGAGTAGAGGAATTTTAGGCAAAGAAAAGGTCTCTTTGTCCACAACTGTAACTGGCCAGTAGTTAGAGACAAAGGGCCCAATTGCAATCTGAACCCAAACAACCATTAACAGCCTTCCATTCAGCAGCCGGAGGACAGCAGTTTCCAATGCAGAGCTTGTGGCAAAGTGGCTTTCCCTGGCTTTTGACTCGCAGGGACACATGACTGGAGGATGACCCATTTTCACAAAGGCTGGAGCTTCAGTGCCCAGGCTGTGCCCAAGTCACATCTGGCTACCCTGCTCAAGGGCCCTTTTCCCCATTCCCTCAACTAAAGCTGGCTTCTAGCCTCCTGCCTCCATCCAGGTGGGAAGTGGCTTTGACTAACTGAAGGTTGAAGAGTGGAAGATCACAGCAGATGTTAGGCCTGTATCTTATCTGAACCATCCAGCTAATGTGGCTTTTGTTTCTCTCTACTTCACTCTTTATGGTCTACTTCAGCAGGGTTTACAAACCTTGGAAGAGGGGAGGCATCATCAAAGAGTAACAAAGGGAAGGTCCAGAAACCCAGGTCAACAGAGGATCACAATCTGGTCCTGGAAGTCAATTGAACTTACTCCCCTGTCCTCGGTTTGCTTGACTGCATTGCAGTGTGGGCTCACGTCAGGCAGGAGTTGAGACTGCAGTTAGGGAGAATTAAATGATTGCAGTATGGTTCCTACCAACACGCTAGACACTTGGCTAAGGGGAGCAAAGTCCATGCTTTCCAGCATCCTAGATTACCCATAATACTACATGCTGACTTGTGCCTCTGTCTATTCTTCTATAATGCAGGCATAGGTATTCTATTTAACTTCATCTACCTGATGTGCAGGTATCAACTGAGGCTGTCACTTAGATAAAGATCACATATGTAGGAATCTGCATGGCCTGGAGCAGGAAATGAGATCTGACGAGACAATTTGAGCCCAGACATCAACCTGCTTGCTATGTAAGGAACACAGTGGGTGGAGTCATGAGGAATGGAGGCCAGGGTAAGGTGAGCTCATGTCAGGCAGGAGTTGAGACTGCAGACAGCATCCATGCTCCCCTATTTCCCTCCCTTTGTCCTACGCTTATACCTGGTACCCAGCAATGGGTACCGGAGAGGGTACTAGTCCCCAGGAGACACTTGGGAAGAAGATGAAGAATACTGAGGGTACTGGATCACAGAGATAGGAGTCTAGGTCAAGGGTTGTGCCACTGGAAGGGGTCCTCACAGAAAGCCCTTTCTGGAACCCCAAGATCTTCTCAGGCGCCAGTCTGTCACTATCCCCCAGCCTCTATGCCCATCCCAGATACACAGTACATGTCTTTATGATCAGAACCCCAATCCTTAGGCACTAAGATGGAATCTCAGTATCTGGAGCCCCTTGGGATTACATGTTCAGTCTATAGCTAGACCTTATCTAGACCTTATCCACAGCATTTGGGATGGGGGCTGCTTTCTTTTTTCTTAGATAGTTTAATCACTTGCCCTATACTGCACAGTCTGAAACTGAGCGAAGTGCCCACAATGCTTTTCTCACTCAGAGCTCTTTTCACATTGTATTTATTGTGTCTGTTAGCTGTTTGCCTTTCTGGGGAGACCTTGAGCTCTGCAGAGCCAAGGTCATGTTTTATCCATTTCTGTATCTTCAATATTCATCACAAGGCTTGGTTCAGAAGTACTCAAAATAGACGGGTAAATGCTCAAATTAAGATCTGTCCTTGCCAGTCTTGGTGTCCTATTCAGTAACTGGACATACCTGAGAGTCATTTTCCCCATCACGAGGAGACAGACTATATAGTTACCTTAATAACTTGAGTCACCACCACTGGCCCCCTATCCACAGAGCAGCCTTCTTTTAATCTGCCACACCCATTTGTTGGCAACCCAAAGATGGCATCATCCCCACCCCCACCGGGTGATGCTTACCAGTAATGTCAGCATGCATCTGCACAAAAAGGGGGTTCTTGCTTAGGCCTCCACATAAGAAGAGGGTACTGAGAGAGTGCCCTGCTGTCTGCATGGCCTCAATGATGAAACGAGTCCCAAACTTAAAGGAGAAAGCAGAAGAAAACATTAGGATGGCAGTGAAGGCAAGTGATCAGGAATGAGTGCATTTGGCATGGTCTTGGCTTGGCACCCAGAGCTCTGTGTGCCCATCCTAGAGATTTGAGCTTTCAAGATCATGTCACCTGTGGTCACATAGCTGATTCTTACAGGAAATTCTACCCTGGGCCTGACTGACTCCAAACCCCCGTCATCACCATTTGCTTCTCTCAGGAGTGATACAACACTGAGAAAAACAGTTAAGGTGTTATCACAGCTCATTTCTTTACTTTTTATTTCATTTTAATTCTTTTCTTTTGCGATTATAATATAATTACATCATCTCTCCCTTCAAGCTTTCTGATATACTCCTCTTGCTCCCTTTCTATATATGTTTGTTTTCAGGGCTAACCATTTGGTACTGAATAACCAGTTGATGTGATCTTCCCTGGATAGTACTATTTCTCCTGCTCCCAGAGTTCCTTAGTTGTCTGCAGTTCTTTGTGTAGGGCTGAGGCCTTGTGGGCTTTCCTTATTCACTTTGGCATGTCCATTGCTGTGCTTGTTCAGCTCACATTTGGGCAGACAGTCATTACGCTCTGACATGCCTAGGAGACAAGGCCTCATAGCAATTTCCCTGATTCTCTGGTTCTTATAAACTTTCCACCCTGCCTGCTGCAATGCTCCCCAAGCCTTAGGAATCAGGGCCCTTTCTAGTGCAGTTCATTCAAACAGCGGATGAGAGTCAACTGTGGCCCAGGCCCACTACGAGGTGCTAGCAATGGGCTCACTGTAGTGCTGCTCTGAAATGATGAGTCGGTGACAGTCTTTCTTCATCAAACTAGAACTAAAGATGTTTTCCTTAGGAAAGTTGCACACACACTAACAAAACAACAACAAAAACTCAAGCAATAGAATTATGGAAAGATGCCTTTATTAGCTACCGAAACCAGGTAATTATGTTCTAACAACGAGGCCTCTGGACCAGCATCCTCTCCCAGCCAGTCCTTAATGAGCTTCGATGATGTGGAGGGCATATACTATGGTTGGCTCAGAGATTTACTCAAGCCTTCTGTCCTAATAACTTCTTGCAATGACTTACCCCATTCCCACCTTGCAGAGTTTACTTTTTAACTCAGTAGCTCTGCTATGGTTTGAGGAGAGCATACTACCTTAGGACCATTATGGTGACTCTTAATATATAATTTGTAGTTTGGATTTGGCTATTATTTAAATTAATTTTTGGATATTCAAAAACTAGAATCTCAAATTTCCTACTTTATTTAGGGGTATGAATTTTTTTGAGATAAACTATGATATGGCATTAAGAAGGAAGCCATGGGGTAATGTTAAGAAGTGGCTCTGAAGAAAAACAAGGAAGAGAATATTTTCAGTGGGCAAAGAGGTCTTTGAATGTTTAGAGACAGGGGTTTTGATAGATGGCAATACTGTAGGTATAAGGATGAGAGTGAGTTGCTGGTAGATGCAGGGAGGGGGCAGGGAACATAATAGGCTAAAGATCTGGAAGTGTCTTAATGAATGGTGAAGCTGCCAAAGAGAGACTGGGATGGAGAATAGAAATGAGACAATATTATAGTTTTTAGTAAAAGTGTAAGTGTTATTGGGAAGTTGGTACCTGATATATACAGGGGTAAGAGGAATAAGAAGTTTGGCCCAGGTAAGAAACAAGGTTTGGGAAATATACAGCCTATTTCCTTCTTTTCAGGTCCTGGGGGGTGGCATCTAGGTAAACGAAGTTTCCCTTGATAAGGGTCCCTATGGGGACATCTTTCCTGGTCATGAGAGTCCCTAAAAAGGAGGGAGGGGTCAGAGGGTGATCTGGGGCCTCAGGATATAACATCCCCTTGGTTTACATCAAATAATAGGCACAGTGGCAGACAGGAACAAAAGGCACAGCAGTTCCAGAACACAGGTCTTAAATATTTGTTGAAGCTGCCCATGAATCTTGTGAAAATATGAATTTAGTAAAACTTGGGCCTTCAACTGTGTTTGAAAAATGAAACATGTTGTAGCATACAAGGTGATTCCTTGGCTACTAAGTATTGGTGATTCTCTCTAGCTGTCCCTTCTTTAGATTCTGGGGGACCTTGAACCCTAGAAAACAATGTCACACATGAGTAACTTCAGGAGGTCAATAGATGCCCGTAAGTCCATCAAGGATCATTGGAGGACTGCCGGTTCTAGGCCACTGTGATCTGTCCCAATGATTGAGATCTACACAGCTGAAGGCATGAGCTTTGACCTTAAGAAACCTTAATCTGACAGGCAGTTCACCTCTTTCTCCTACCCAACCTAAGACTCCATTCTTACTTACTAATAGGACAAATATTATCATATTCATTGTGTTGAATGTGGCTTGTTAAAGATGGCAACATGAAAAGAAATCAACGGTATGGCCTGAGACATGGCTTGACACAGTAGCATGTCCCTTTCAAGCTCACAGCTGCAGACACACTGAAGCACTTACAAAGGAGCTCTTCTGGCTATGAGGCTCACTAGGCATTCTGCTGGGCATGTCAATGTCATCTGTAATTTTAAGACAAACTAGAAACCTGAAGATGGTTAACCCCACTTGGACCATGTGATTAGCAGTCTACGACTGGGGTCACTACAAAGCACATTGCTGGGAAAGAAAAGTAAGAACCTGAACAAGAGGCACTCCCTTCAGAGCTCTGACAGCCTGTCTCCCATTCCCAAGGCTGGCAGCTCTTTGCAGGGCTTCTCTTTAGTGTCCCAGACCCCAATGTGTGAAGACCCACCCTCTTGAAATGCCTACCAAAGGGCTTTGTGCGGAAAATGCTTCTGTGCTCACCTTTCTGGAAAAAATGTTTTCATGGAGAAATTCAAATTAAAATTAGGCGATTCCAAGGGGACACAGAAGCAAATGCAAATCAAGAGACTTCAAATGCAAATAGTACTTTTTAAGGGTCGATTCTGAAAAGAGAACTACAGACAGACAAGCTGTGGAGGAACCAAGTGGCTGACAGGTTTTTCAAAGAAGCCAAGCAAGGGAGAATTTTACTGCATGGAGGGGTTTCCCATAGTCTAGCTAACTTTTATCTCTTTAAATTCATTCCATTGCTACAGAGTGCCAACCAAGGATATTAATATAGAGGAAACTGTTTAACTTACCAATAACAAATAGGTGCTAAGGCAATATTCAGTAGGAAGGAAACAATTTTTTTCCCAAGCTGAACATTATGGGAAAATATCTGTTATCAAAATGCTTCATTAAAATGCACATTTTTGCCTAGGAAATCAGTACACTCAAATACTTTTTTCAAACAGATGGAACCCCTCCCAAATTTAATTGACTCTACAATAAAGCTTTATCAGGAAATCTGTCTTAAAATGTCTTCCCTGCATGGAATTATAAAGGTCATTAAGACAATAGAGAGAAAAAAATGGGATCGCTTTAAATGTATGTATGGCTCATTAAATGTAAGATTGATTTCCCAAATGTGTGTTACTTGAGAAAACATAGCTGGCTCTTCCCCCCTCCTCTCCTGCATGCTTTATTAAGTTTAATCTTTTGCATTCCTAGGCTTCCTGCTGTAATGTTCTTACCAGGAAAAGTAGCCTGTGAAAAAAAATTCCAAGCCAACTGAATGATGTTTTCTGCTATGTGTTAAGTAAAAGCTGCTCTGGGAATGCCTGAAAACTTATTTCACTCATGCAGCATTTATGAAAAGATCAAAGACAAACACACCATGACAAAGTGGAGAGAGCAGGAGCTGGGGTTGAGATGGACACGGGTTCCCATTCCAACTAGTGTGCACTAGCTGGGAGCCCCTGGCAAACTGCCTGCCCTCATCTCAAATGTAAAGATAAGTCCCTTGGGTTACAGGGCTGCAGTTTTAAGGCCTGGACATGCAAGGCACTCTGGTGCCTGGCAAAGAGTTGGAAGTCACCTGAATTGTCACAGTTCTTACCACTATGGGGTAATGCCCTTGACCTCTCCTGTTTAGGTTTGTCTTTCATGTTCATCTCTCGGCATTTGCTCACAATGTGTGAGCATCATGCCTCTCTAGTTTTCCAGAACTCTACATTTCAATGGATGGGATGGAGCCAACTGCAAACCCTTTCATACAATTGCATTTACAAGCCAAATGTTAAAATAACCTCAGTACTTCTTATGTTTTATTTTATAAACTGTGGGCTCTCTTCACTGCTCTAGCATATATGAACTACATGGCAATGAGCAGGTTAGTTTTCTGTACTAAGGCTTGGGATTCTAGTCAGTGGACTGAGGAACATATCATCAATATATGGTTAAATATTTTATAATATTTGATATATATATCAAATAGCTCCAAATTCTATTCCAAATTAGTAGTATCATAACCGTCTTCTTCATTTCAAAACATGATTACTAAATGTTTTTCCAAATGATTGACATGTTTCAGTTTTCATCTTCTATTCATTTTCTCCGTTTTGACAGATGTCATAATTGTCTGGGTTTATGGATGTTTCTTTTGTTTGTTTGCTTGTAGTTTCCATGTAGAAAGCAGTTTGATTGGTTTCACTGAACTGGTCAAGGTATTAAGTCAAGAGGGAAGTTGCTTAAGGGAGAAATAGTCTGGTCTACAATCTACAGGGGCTGTGTTGCTGAATGGGCATGTTCCATATGCCCCTGCAATGATTCTGCAAAAGGGATAGTACTGTGGAGACTAGGGAGCCTCTGTTCTCAAGACACACCTGGCCCATGGGTAAGTATGAGCACTAACAAAACAATTCTGTTGGTGACATGGATGAATCTGCATCTATATATTAAAAATAGTAAGATTCTAAAAACAGTTATTAGGAGAAGATAATTAGTGGATATCATTTATGTCTATACAGCAGTAATAAGCAAACCAAAAATATTTATTTAGGCTCAGAGGTAGTGTCCTTGGGTCCTTGGCTCAGACGATAAAGCTTGGGGTTCAATCCCTAGCACCACTACCAGTCATGATAATAATAAATAATAAAAAAATAAAAAAATATGTGAGTTCAATTCCCAGCACCCACATTTGGCTGCTCACAAACATCTTTCACTATAGCTCCTAAGTACAATTCCTTTTCCGGGCACTCCCATGTGCCATATATTGACATATACATATACACATAAATAAATCTAAATAATAATAATGAACATTGGTTTAATGGTGAATAATAAATTATAAATCACAATTTAGTAAAATGCTTTTTCCTTTCTGAGGGTTTTCTTTCCCTTTCTAAAATTAAAAGCACAGATTTAGTTGTGGGGTATAGACCTTCTCTAAGATGCTGAAAGTCATGACCTATTTCTGCAAATGTATTTTCTAGTACAGACACATGCTGACTTTTGTATTATTTCAGAATTTAGAACCTCTGGCAGTCCACAACTGGAGCACTGCTCCACAAGAACATTCCTTAGGCAAAGTCTGAGTTTCTAGGATTTAGTTTTCATCTTGAACCTCACTTTAAGAGCCTCTCACATTTCAGATTCAATTCTCCCTTCTTTCCTTAATCATTTTAACCATCCATAACCACCCCAAACCAAAAGTTTCTAAGAAGGCTTACTATTTAAAGGAACCTTATAATGAATTCTTTTGTAAAGTGAACAATATTATGTAGTGTATTAAAGCAAACATTCTTAACAGCAGTTTTTAAACTGCATGGGTACTTGGAATCTGCCTGTTTGCTTGTACTAAATTTAGAAGACAACAGGCAAATGACAAGCATGATGCTCAAGGGCGTTCCTTTGGCTTTCACTTCAGTGAATCTATCATAAAGGCAGGTGAGACCTCTTGTCATCATCACTGTCTGGACAGGAAACTATCTCTTTGTGGTAAGCGCTCTTCTGATTAAGCAACTGCCACAAAAGTATTATGGTGTATCTCAGAGATCTGTGGGTCAGAACATATTGATAACACCAAGTTTTTTTTTTTTTTTTGAAATGTCATTAAAGTGTCTTACAGCAATGGCTTGAACAGTGGCGAGGTAGAGGATGGCAAGATCATCAAGGCCCTGAGACAGTGTCAATCCAGTGACCTATAGGAAGGAAGAAAAGAGAAGAATGAGGGACCAAATGCAGATGCCACGGATAGAGATAACTCCCACAGACTGTGAGCCTGTTCAGATGTACTTTCTGGCTACAACAAGTTCATATGAAAATCCTTTTTTTGTGAGCTGAACGTGGAATGCTTACTAAATTATTCAAACTTCAAACTTCAGAAAAAATATTCTTCCCCTACACCAAAAAAATTCTTTGTCCTTGGATTGAACCAAACCAAAAAATTTAAAATAAATGAATAAAATCTCTTGTAATATTATATTTGATTGTTTAATATGAAATTAAATGTGATTAAAATGTTATAAATAAGCATCTCCTGTGGTTTATAAGAGGTAAAAATGTGAACAGTTGGCATTTGACCATAAGAAGACCATGAATTCAGCTTCTGTCAAAACTTAGTGTAACAGCACCCAAGGGTTATTTAGGGTAAATAATATGTCTCCTACAGATGTTATACCTACTGAAGGGTAATTTAGAATCTATGGTTTGCAAGGGAATCCCATTAAAATCAATCCGAACCATATGAGTCAGTTTCTTCGAGATTCCAGAGGTGAATGGATGGATGCTGGCTGTGGATGCAATCAGCTCCTTCACAGCCTCCCTGTCACATCTCTCTGTGTCAGTGTTCTTATGGACTCTTTAGAGAGGGTACAGGCTGATTTATTGTTCAAGTCTGTGGACATCAATACCTTTGTTCAGTTTAGATAAAAGAGAAACTGATCTATCTATGTGCATGTGCGTTTGTGCCTTACATGAGTCCTGGGACAACTTTCAGGGGCTGCTTTTCTTCTTTGGCCATGTTGGGTCCTGAGGACATAATTCAGGTCATCAGATTGGGCAGCAAGTGTCCTTATCCAATGAATCATCTCACTGAGCTTCACTTTAAATTTTCACCTTATAAAATTAATTTATGCAATATGGCCTGTACGGTGTGAGCCATCTTGTGCTACAGAAAGTATGAATATGTAGTCCACAATAATACTGAGGTGAGTGATCTGCCGAGTACCCATGGCCTTCCTTTCCAGCCTTATTTGATTAATCTCTCCAGATTCCCTCCTCTCCTCAGGACATGCTATCGCAGGGCATAGACACCATTAGGAGAGCTCTCTTCTTGCTTTCTCCTTCATTTCATCTCCCATAGCCTTTACAGTCTACCTGCTTTTGTCTTCTCTGCTATTCACTTCCTTAGTTCAGGCCATGATCCTATTCTTCCTGCTTGTTGATACAGCCCATTTCTAATTCTTCTCTACAGTAGAGCTAGTATGATCATTATGTGCAAACCTGGCCAAGCACCAGTCAGGGAAACTGAAACATAAGACTTAAGAACTCAAGGTTAGCTTAAACTATCTTGCAAATTCAGTATAACTGGTACTACACAGTGAAATTCTGTCTCAAAGGAAGCAAACATACATACATACATACATACATACATACCAGCATCCTCCATACCCAGAACACCACTAAATAAACAAAAACAGTCTGGCCAACTTGTCCCTGTTGCCTTGGCACTAGAGAAGTAATGCAGTCTGCATATACACCTTCCTGGTATGGCCCCTGCTCGTCCCTCTAGTATCTATCTACTCTTGCTTTCCTCATGAAACAGGAGATGCTCCTGCTGTCCTGAAACACATACATGTAAACTGTTGGCTTATTCCTGGCTGATATCAGGGTCATCAGGTAAGAACTATCTATTTGACTTCAATACAAAGGAATACTGAAAGGTTAAAGTACAGACCAGAAAGGAATTTTGGGACCCTCTTTCCAATCCAATCATGGCAACTCAAAGGTCCTTTGCTTCTTCTAAACACCATTCTTTTTCCTAATAACTGATCACGTAAAACAATGGCTGAACATTTAATGCTTGGCTTCTTGAATACTTACAGGAATGAGAGGAACTCTGTTCTACAGCCTCAAGAAAGAGGAAGTCAAAAACCAAGTTGAGTAACTTACTCTATGTTCCCTACATCCCCACTCTCGCCTTTCCTTATCCTAGGAGTGTTTCTCATGAGACTGGGGTAAAAGCAGGTTCCAGGAGCTCACCTTATGTCAATAAAGATAAGCCATCCCATCTAGCAAGATGAAATAGACACCAGCCTTGCCACAAGCCCCATCCAGTGAACACAGAGGGTGAGCTACCTACAGCACAGCACACAGAAGCCTGGGTTATGGTCACTGGTGATGGGTGTGTGCACACTTGCTCTCCCCTGGCTCCTCATCTAGCAGGGCAGCTGACTGGGCCACCTAGAGTTCCCTTCTGGAGCCAGATCATTAGGTTGCCTTCTTCTAGACAGCAATTGAAGGTGGATCAGGTCATGATCATCTGCATAGCAGACCCACAGGTAGGTTTCAAAGCCCAAATCCTGATAATTTGTGATGGAATGTGACATTTGGGGTCCATTTTGTGTTTCAGAGGCATTTCCTTATCTATATCCACTGGGCAATCTAGTGTTTTATGTTATAATGTGAATAATGTGGCTGGTTCTGATATCTTTCTCAATCACTAAAATCCTAAAGGCATAAAAGACTATGACATACTTGTATTTATTTTTTAATATCTAGTAAATACACATAAGAACTTTCAAAAAGCATTAGTGTTTGAGCAAAAGGATTTCATGGCCCTTTCTGTAAATTTCTAGTGCTCCCAGAGAAAAGGAACCCTTTTCTTCTGGAAACTAAGACAAAGTAATCAATGGCACTAAAATTTAACTTTGGAGCTTGACAGTAGTTGCAGAAGAAGAAAAAAAAGGCAACATAACTTTTTTCCAAAGTAAAGCACAACCATCATTCAGAGAGATAGCATCCTTCTTGGGAAGGAGTTCTCAATTGTTTATTTTATGGAGTATTAAACAGGTGTTATGATACATCTAAAGAGAAGCGGCAAGCACAGCCCTAGAGCCACCTCCAGCATTCCTTCATACTAATACCAGGGCTGTGTTGCTGGAGTGAGACTCCATGACAGACAATTCTCAATTCTCCCTGAAGCAAAGAGGCACTGTGATCTGAGGCCTTACTTCCTTGACACCTCGCCTGATAAGCATATGGACAGCTCAGAGGGGCAGCTGTCCAGTGAGCCCATTTTATTCTGTCAAATACTGGGCGTTTCAGTCTTGGCCTGGCTAAATCAGTTCATGATGGGGCTTTCCATGGAATGTCTGCTATGTGGACCACTCAGGAGGATGAAGAAGCCTTTGAGGGAATGGTTGTGAAATGTGAGTTCCTGGGAATGCCAGAGATGCCCTGGAGGTGTGTATAGATTTGTTAGAGCTTCAACACTTGGACAGGCCAAATGAGCTATATGGTTCAGCTGAAGGCTGGCTGGTTCTTTTGATAAGAGGAAGTTGAAAGGAAACGTAAGTGGAAGGAGGCTGTTTATAAATATGTATGTGCCTATTTTGAATGTTGAGATGAGACAGTCCAGTGTATGGGGAAGCCCCATGGGAGACTTGTGATGGTATGCACATTTTATTTCTTTTGCCTCTTGTGTAAAATGGGAACTATAAGAGAAAAGTACTTACTTAATGTGTTAAAGTTGCATATGATGTCCAAAAACATGCCAACAACTACAGTGGACCAGTGAACTTCCTAGCTTATAGACACAAAGTATTATCTAAATGTGTTTCTTTTTCCTATAAATTAAGTGTACATAAATTGAAAGATGGTAAGATTTACAGGAGGACATCTGGGTTTACATTTCCAGATTTCTTGTGTGAATTGTAGCACCTCTGCAATTCACTTTTTCATCCGCAGGACAGGACTGTAATAACGCTTAGTGTTTTTGAAGACTAGAGGAGATTGCATCTAAAATTTCCCTTACTTACTGGTAAGTTGTACTGGGTCTATAAAAAGCTAGATACTCCTCCAGTTCTTATAGTGCCAGCTATATATACAAGAAAAACTTATAAATGGTTCATTTCTTTTCAACTATTAATAAATGTTCACTTTCTTTGGAATTATATTAAAGATTTAGTATCTCCCCCGCTGTGATATAGACTTGGAGAAACCTTAGACATTACAAATGACCATATCCATTTGTGTTATAAAATGGAAAGACAGAAGCTACATCCCCAGCTTGGACTTAGCTTCAATATTGCACTTCTCAGTCATAGTCCACACTTGGGTTCATGTTTTCACCATCCTGGCATTCATATTGAGTGCAGTTTTCTTTTGGATCCTACTCCAGATTTACTTAACCTTTGATGTGTGCTGAAAATTTGCACTTTAGCAAGAACCTAATGCACTAAATGGGAGATATGGGTGTCCCAAACCTTGGTTGGCATTATTATTATAAGTTCAAAGGTTCCCCCGAATAATTCAGATTAATAAGTATATCAAAAAGAGCCCTACTTCGGAGCCCAGCCTGTAACAAAATCTGAAACTTGAGATCTTACATTAAGCCACAAATAGATGCTTTGACACAACAAACCTAGTGGTCTAGAGAAGCCAAGAAGGCCTTCTCTGGAACTAGAAGGAACTAAAAGCCTGGGAGGACTCAGTAACTCTGGGAGTCCAGGCAGACAATTTACACTACTTAAAACCCACCCAGACTTGGGAAATGAAGATGAATGTGCCACCATCGTGTGGGAGGAAGAATTAGAAAGATTTCTGTCCTCCGGTTATGCAAACACTAATTTATACTCAGCTATAAAGGGACTTGGCAGAAGCAATCAGTTGCTGGCTAGCTGACCTTAAAGGGGTGTGATTATCCTGATTTATCACATGGCACTGAAAAGCAGAAGAGGAAGGCAGAAGAGCTCATGAGGGATGAAAAAGAGGAAGGCAGAAGAGCCCTTGAAAAGATGAAAAAGAGGAAGGTAGAGTAAGAGGGTAGGAGGCAGAAATGAAAACCAAGAAAGCTCAAAATATGAGATGGATTTGCCCTGGTCTTGCTGGGTTTGAGGGTACAGGCAGAAGGTAATGAGCCTCAGAAAGAATCTAGAGCAGTGGTTCTCAACTTTCCTAATACTATTGGCACAAAAAT